AAGAGTCAGCATTTTTTGAAAATGTTACCATAAATGTAAAATTTTAATATAAATATTAGGTAAAAATTTCAAGTGTACTCAGTAATAATTTATTAAATACCTATACTAAAATAATAAAATCAATTTTTTTTTAAATATATATTATTCTCAGCATCAATACCAATGTATAAGCTTCAACTAGGTGTTTTTCTTTGATAAATTGTRCACATATTTAAAATTATTTTGAAAAAATACAATTTTTTTTTTTTTCATATGACTAGAAATACATAATATATTCTATTCTATACAGAATGAGAAACCTAATCGCTTTTAAATACATTTTGCAATGACTCAGAATTTCTTCAAGCTTCAACAGGTTTGAGCTCTAATTGGTGATTGAAGTAAATTATAAATTTAAGAAATAAATGATTACTTTGAAACGTTCAAATTCACTATCAAACATAACATATTATTATTATAACTTTTATCACACCTAATATCATGTAAAAAACTTTCAGTAGTAAGTAGATTTTTACAATATTTACCCCAATCAATGTRAGTAGACTGTAATCTATTATTATTATTACTATATCCATTGAATGGTTCTAAAGTATCTTTCAAAAATGTTGATGTAAATATTGTTTTTAAGGTACCTATTTATCCTTTTTAATATATTTTGCTTTGCAATTTGTTAACATGTTTTCAATTATATCTTTAATAATTTTAGTTAATGTGCTTATAACTAAAAGCCAATTTTTATTTTGAGACTTACATGTATCATCTCTTACTGATCACTGATTTTATGATTTTTTGATGATTTTATCAAATTCTTACCAAATTTTTTTTGTATTTTTAATTTTTTTATTATTTTATCATCAAAACACACTGATTTTTAACRCATTTCAATAAAATTACTACTCTTAATTAGTAACATTATACTCTCTCTTATATTTATACTCAGCATAATATACTTCATAATAAATAATCATTGTTAGTAATTGCAATTAATTTTTCATATTGTTGTTTTAGTTTTAATAGAATTAATATTTGGTAGTACCTACCAACTTAATATGTGCATAATAATAATATACTCTTGGAAAATTATTTTATAGAATAAGTCTCCCAAATTATCACTTAGTAATAAATTAAATAAACAAATCATTACCGGGCACCTTATATATTTCTTTAATGTTATAATAAAAATAAAAATTCCATTACCATAATTATTGTTATAAACACTATGATACATACTAAATACATTTAGAGATAGTAACATACAAATTAATTAAAGAACGCATACATTTTTGGGAATGAATGTAAAATTGTAAGATCTTTAAATATGATTGATGAATGACAATCTTGAGATTGGGATAACCCCCTAACCTCGTGTATAATCACTAGTAAAAAAAAAAATCGTGCCCGGGATACAGCAGCAGATTCAGAGCTTACAGTTGGTTGGGGGTAACACACGTCAAGCATTACAAACAGCCATAGCTTCTTCTTTTTCTTCAAGTAGTTCTTTAGCGGTCAAATCCAATTTAGTCTTTGCAAAGTCTGTTATTTTCAAACCCTAATAAATATGAATAATTATATTATTGATAAGTAAAATTCAAAATAATAAAATATTTCTTTTATAAAACTATACCTGCACAATTTTCCATTGCTTGTTTGAAATGGATACTGGCAAAGAATAAATCAAATCTTTTGGCACACCATATGAACCATCGGAGATAACTCCCATTGAAACCCAAGAACCATTAGGAGTTCCAGACCACCAGTCACGCATGTGATCAACAGCTGCTTTAGCAGCAGACATAGCTGATGACATCTTTCTAGCTTGGATCACAGCAGCTCCTCTAGTTTGAATAGTCTAAAATTAAATTAATTATTATTTATGAAAATTGATACTTGTTATTTAAATTGCTATTGTAATKTAATTCAATAAAGTATTATACATAATTGTCATTGTGATGTAGCAATTAATCAATTTCTTAGAATAATTCTTAGCTACATATTATAATTTTTTTTTAACTTTTTAAAYAAAATGGTTAAATTGTTTACTTTTAAATTTTAATATATATTAAACTAAATAATAATTAATTAAGATATGATAATAGTGATAATAAAGGTAAATATGATTAAGTATGTTGAAYACTTCCTTGAAAATTGTGAGATTTGTWTATTGCTRAATTATTATACAATTATTTGTAATTGTGAACAATTGACCAATACTTTATTGATCCACTGACAGCCTAGGAGATTCATTAAACACATGCGATTCAGTTAAAACATTATTCAAGATGCTTGCTATCCAATGATTTTAATCCAAATGATATATTGTCTGTTCAAAATGAGATCAGTACCGGTGCCACTTATTGCGCATAGGCGTGGCTTTGTTCTGCAGCACGGCCTGAGGGGAACTGCACRCCGCTGAAAAASACTGGTCGCTGCCATGTACCAATCTCATTTTGAACAGAGTATACATAATTTGAATACRAGTAGAACAATCAA